GTTCACCTGTACCTTCCTCTTCTCTCCTGGCAGGTTCGGGGGATGACGTGCGCCTCCTGTGTACATAAGATCGAGTCTTGTCTGATGAAAACCAAAGGAGTTCTGTACGGTTCTGTTGCTCTCGCCACCAATAAAGCTCACATGAAATATGACCCGGAGATGATTGGACCGAGAGATCTCATGAAGATTATTGATGTGAGTGTGTCCCCATCCTCCCGTGTCATCCCCGTCCTCCCGTGTCATCCCCGTCCTCCCGTGTCATCCCCGTCATAGGGGGTCAGAGCGCCGTCATAGGGGGTCAGAGCGCCGTCATAGGGGGTCAGAGCGCCGTCATAGGGGGTCAGAGCGCCTTCATAGGGGGTCAGAGCGCCTTCATAGGGGGTCAGAGCGCCGACATAGGGGGTCAGAGCGCCGACATAGGGGGTCAGAGCGCCTTCATAGGGCTTAGGGTTAGTAAGTTTGATCACCTGACCATGCATCCTGTACAATGGCACTCTGCCTAGCGTGGGCTTCCAGTATTATGTGGTGCTGACAGATGGGGTATGGACAGAATTGGGGAAATGTTTACAGACTTTGCATAGTAAGAAATTATTTTCTCTCATTTTCTTGTAGGATTTAGGATTTAAAACGTCGTTGGTTAAAAGAGATCGATCTGCCAGCCACCTGGATCACAGGGGGGAGATACAGAGGTAGGTGACCCTGAGCCCACTTACAGCACCTTCTCCAGACTTCAGCCTGAGCGCTGGACACCCTTCCTGTACATCAGGGGGAGCCAAACTCCGCCCCTCCAGCTGGGGTGGAACCTCAAATCCCACGAGGCATTGCAAGATTCTCACAGCCACAGGCGTGACTCCCAGAGAGAGAGATGCATCATGGGATTTGTAGTTTCAACACAGCTGGGGGGCCGGAGTTTGGCTATCCCTGCTGCACAGTACTGAGCACACTGATGGCTGCCCTCAGCCTCACACATCATGGTGCAGTTCAGTAAGCGCTGCTCTCTGCATCATTCTCCTGTGAGCTCA